AAGTCGTAAATTTACTAGAATTATGTAACATTAGAAGAATAAAGTTGTAACATTACGAGAATAAAGTCAGAAATATACGAGAATAAAGTCGTAAATTTACTAGAATTATGTAACATTAGAAGAATAAAGTCATCAAATTATGAGAATAAAATAATCAAATTACTAGAATAAAGTCGTAACATTACGAGAATAAAGTCATAAATATACGAGAATAAAGTCGTAACATTACGAGAATAAAGTCATAAATATACGAGAATAAAGTCGTAAATTAACTAGAATTAAGTAACATTACAAGAATAAAGTCATCAAATTATGAGAATAAAATAATCAAATTACGAGAATAAAGTCGTAACATTACGAGAATAAAGTCATAAATATACGAGAATAAAGTCGTAACATTACTAGAATAAAGTCATAAATATACGAGAATAAAGTCGTAACATTACTAGAACAAAGTCATAAATATACGAGAATAAAGTCGTAAATTTACTAGAATTAAGTAACATTACAAGAATAAAGTTGTAACATTACGAGAATAAACTCAGAAGTATACGAGAATAAAGTCGTAAATTTACTAGAATTATGTAACATTAGAAGAATAAAGTCGTAACATTACGAGAATAAAGTCAGAAATATACGAGAATAAAGTCGTAAATTTACTAGAATTATGTAACATTAGAAGAATAAAGTCATCAAATTATGAGAATAAAATAATCACATTACGAGAATAAAGTCATAAATATACGAGAATAAAGTCGTAACATTACGAGAATAAAGTCATAAATATACGAGAATAAAGTCGTAAATTTACTAGAATTAAGTGACATTACAAGAATAAAGTAATCAAATTATGAGAATAAAATAATCAAATTACGAGAATAAAGTCGTAACATTACGAGAATAAAGTCATAAATATACGAGAATAAAGTCGTAACCTTACGAGAATAAAGTCATAAATATACGAGAATAAAGTTGTAAATTTACTAGAATTAAGTAACATTACAAGAATAAAGTCCTCAAATTATGAGAATAAAATAATCAAATTACGAGAATAAAGTCATAAATATACGAGAATAAAGTCGTAACATTACTAGAATAAAGTCATAAATATACAAGAATAAAGTCGTAACATTACTAGAATAAAGTCATAAATATACGAGAATAAAGTCGTAAATTTACTAGAATTAAGTAACATTACAAGAATAAAGTCCTCAAATTATGAGAATAAAATAATCAAATTACGAGAATAAAGTCGTAATATTACGAGAATAAAGTCATAAATATATACGAGAATTAAGTCGTACATTACGAGAATAAAGTCAGAAATATACGAGAATAAAGTTGTAAATTTACTAGAATTAAGTAACATTACAAGAATAAAGTCATCAAATTATGAGAATAAAATAATCAAATTACGAGAATAAAGTCATAAATATACGAGAATAAAGTCGTAACATTACTAGAATAAAGTCATAAATATACAAGAATAAAGTCGTAACATTACGAGAATAAAGTCATAAATATATACGAGAATTAAGTCGTACATTACGAGAATAAAGTCAGAAATATACGAGAATAAAGTCCTAAATTTACTAGAATTATGTATCATTAGAAGAATAAAGTCATCAAATTACGAGAATGAAGTCGTAAAATTAAGAGAATACAGTCAACACTACAAGAATAAAGTCATAAATATACGAGAATAAAGTCGTAAATTTACTAGAATTAAGTAACATTACAAGAATAAAGTCCTCAAATTATGAGAATAAAATAATCAAATTACGAGAATAAAGTCATAAATATACGAGAATAAAGTCGTAACATTACTAGAATAAAGTCATAAATATACAAGAATAAAGTCGTAACATTACTAGAATAAAGTCATAAATATACGAGAATAAAGTCGTAAATTTACTAGAATTAAGTAACATTACAAGAATAAAGTCCTCAAATTATGAGAATAAAATAATCAAATTACGAGAATAAAGTCGTAATATTACGAGAATAAAGTCATAAATATATACGAGAATTAAGTCGTACATTACGAGAATAAAGTCAGAAATATACGAGAATAAAGTTGTAAATTTACTAGAATTAAGTAACATTACAAGAATAAAGTCATCAAATTATGAGAATAAAATAATCAAATTACGAGAATAAAGTCATAAATATACGAGAATAAAGTCGTAACATTACTAGAATAAAGTCATAAATATACAAGAATAAAGTCGTAACATTACGAGAATAAAGTCATAAATATATACGAGAATTAAGTCGTACATTACGAGAATAAAGTCAGAAATATACGAGAATAAAGTCCTAAATTTACTAGAATTATGTATCATTAGAAGAATAAAGTCATCAAATTACGAGAATGAAGTCGTAAAATTAAGAGAATACAGTCAACACTACAAGAATAAAGTCATAAATATACGAGAATAAAGTCGTAAATTTACTAGAATTAAGTAACATTACAAGAATAAAGTCGTAACATTACGAGAATAAAGTCAGAAATATACGGGAATAAAGTCGTAAATTTACTAGAATTATGTAACATTAGAAGAATAAAGTCATGAAATTATGAGAATAAAATAATCAAATTACGAGAATAAAGTCGTAACATTACGAGAATAAAGTCATAAATATACAAGAATAAAGTCGTAAATTTACTAGAATTATGTAACATTAGAAGAATAAAGTCATCAAATTACGAGAATGAAGTCGTAAAATAAAGAGAAAACAGTCAACACTACAAGAATAGTCATAAATATACGAGAATAAAGTCGTAAATTTACTAGAATTAAGTAACTTACAAGAATAAAGTCGTAACATTACGAGAATAAAGTCAGAAATATACGAAAATAAAGTCGTAAATTTACTAGAATTATGTAACATTAGAAGAATAAAGTTGTAACATTACGAGAATAAAGTCATAAATATACGAGAATAAAGTCCTAAATTTACTAGAATTATGTAACATTAGAAGAATAAAGTCATCAAATTATGAGAATAAAATAATCAAATTACTAGAATAAAGTCGTAACATTACGAGAATAAAGTCATAAATATACGAGAATAAAGTCATAAATATACGAGAATAAAGTCGTAAATTTACTAGAATTAAGTAACATTACAAGAATAAAGTCATCAAATTATGAGAATAAAATAATCAAATTACGAGAATAAAGTCGTAACATTACGAGAATAAAGTCATAAATATACGAGAATAAAGTCGTAACATTACTAGAATAAAGTCATAAATATACGAGAATAAAGTCGTAACATTACTAGAATAAAGTCATAAATATACGAGAATAAAGTCGTAAATTTACTAGAATTAAGTAACATTACAAGAATAAAGTTGTAACATTACGAGAATAAAGTCAGAAGTATACGCGAATAAAGTCGTAAATTTACTAGAATTATGTAACATTAGAAGAATAAAGTTGTAACATTACGAGAATAAAGTCAGAAATATACGAGAATAAAGTCGTAAATTTACTAGAATTATGTAACATTAAAAGAATAAAGTCATCAAATTATGAGAATAAAATAATCAAATTACGAGAATAAAGTCGTAACATTACGAGAATAAAGTCATAAATATACGAGAATAAAGTCGTAACATTACGAGAATAAAGTCATAAATATACGAGAATAAAGTCGTAAATTTACTAGAATTAAGTAACATTACAAGAATAAAGTAATCAAATTATGAGAATAAAATAATCAAATTACGAGAATAAAGTCGTAACATTACGAGAATAAAGTCATAAATATACGAGAATAAAGTCGTAACCTTACGAGAATAAAGTCATAAATATACGAGAATAAAGTTGTAAATTTACTAGAATTAAGTAACATTACAAGAATAAAGTCATCAAATTATGAGAATAAAATAATCAAATTACGAGAATAAAGTCATAAATATACAAGAATAAAGTCGTAACATTACTAGAATAAAGTCATAAATATACGAGAATAAAGTCGTAAATTTACTAGAATTAAGTAACATTACAAGAATAAAGTCCTCAAATTATGAGAATAAAATAATCAAATTACGAGAATAAAGTCGTAACATTACGAGAATAAAGTCGTAACATTACGAGAATAAAGTCATAAATATATACGAGAATTAAGTCGTAATATTACGAGAATAAAGTCATTAATATACGAGAATAAAGTCGTAAATTTACTAGAATTAAGTAACATTACAAGAAGAAAGTCGTAAAATTAAAATAATAAAGTCATAAAATTCTGGGAATAAAGACGTAACGAGAATAGTCATAATGTTATGAGAATAAAGTTATAAAATTACAAGAGTAAAGTCATAAATTACGACAAAGTTGTAAATTTATTGGAATAAAGTAGCGCGAAGATTCATAAAATTATGAGACTTTATTATCGTAATATTACGAATATTCTTGTAATTTAACGACTTCATTCTCGGCTCTAATACTCCATCATCATAAAGTATACAAAAACATGTAAAACGGAAAAAAAAATATTCAGGCAGGAATGTTTTGGTCCAGAGGGGAAAAGGGTCGGTGCTCTAGCACCACCTGGTGGCTGTCCGCGCACGTCGCTGCTCTGCTAGCTAACTACAGGCCACATCACTGCTAGCTTAACTGAAAAGGTCAGGTTTAAACTGAAATAGGGACTAAACTAAGCTTTTTAACGCACAGCATTACTTTGATTTGCAGCGTCGATTTATGAGGTTGAAATCGAACCCTGAGCCTTTAGCTCCAGTTAGCGGAACTTTACCAATGACCTGAAGGTATCAACCTTTCTCTGTTTTTTTAACTAACTTAACTGAATCTTTATCAATTTGGTTTTTTTAGCTTAAAAAAAGGGATAATTTCCTTTTTCACACTGTTACCATGGCAACCCATAGGCCGACATTGTAGAGCAGCTAACCAGGCTCTGGGTTCGCTCCCTTCTAACCAGGTACGGCAAGCCGTTACGCCCATTTATCGCTTTGCTTTGGCAAAGTTTAAAACATGACAGGTGATTTCTGAGGGAAACGGTTCGACTGTAGGCGTGATTTAAAAAGTTTGTCTTTGATGTGGGAGGACATGTCTCCATCGTCTGTCCTCCAGCTCCGGTTTGCTTCCAGGATCAGATGACGGAGCGGCTGAGGCGGGCTGTGGGCCGCGTTCAGACAGTGCGGAGGAGCAGGCGGGTCAGACGGTCCGGATCGTCATCCAGACAGAGGAGTGTCTGCTGCTCCTCCTCCCCCTCCCTCCCTCTCTCCTCCTCCTCCTCCTAGGTCTCCCAGGCTGATCCTGGAGCGCTGCAGACACACCAAGGGCTGCTGGGACCACAGAACATCTCGCAGTAAGTACCGAGCTCCAGGTTCTGGTTCTGAAGCCTCTGGCTGTCCAAACCAGAACCCAGGCAGAACCTGGACCCGCTTCAGACCCGGTTCTGTCCGGTTTGGTTCTGAGGCCTTAAAGCTGAGGAGCCGTCTGGGACGGGAACCCACCCGGCAGCCGGTTCCGCTGCTGGAGACGGAGAACAAGGAGAAGGTTCTGGATCTGAGACGCGAAGCCGGAATAAAAAAATAGATTCTGTTTTTATTATTTCAGGAGGAAATGAGCGGATTCACCTGCTCAGATAAAAAATATATCCACTTCTTCTGCTAACGGTCCAAACCAGAGAGCAGAACCGAGCAGAACCGGGCTCTGGAGGCAGGGATGGAGAGTACGTCACCATGGCAACGGCCAACATTGAAATAAACGGTTCTGATCCACAAACGGAGACAAGACGGGTCAGAACCACGGCCGGACTCTGGGTCGACGCCGCTGAGGTCTGATCAGAACGGCCGACCCAAAAGAAAGGAAAGGAGGCGCTGAGGGGAACCAGAACCTCACCTGGTACCAATGAAGGTCTGGAGGAACCTGCAGAACCAGTTTGATCCAGTTTGCTCTGTGGAAATAGTTCCCACTTTAACGACGGAGGCTTCTTTGCTCTTATGTCTGGTTCTGGTCATTATGTTCAGAACAGCTGGTATCAAATGAAAACTTTATTAATGAGCTTTGAATTATTAATAGCCTGACAGATAAAACCAGATTCAACCAGTTTAGGCCGGCGGTGGAGAGACTTTGATTAAGATTAAAGATTAGATTTAAATCAAAGATTTAGATTAAAGATTTCAGATCAAAGATTTAGATTAAAGATTTAAATCAAAGATTTAGATCAGATTTAGATCAAAGAGTTAAGTTCAAAGATTTAGATTAAAGATTTAGATCAAAGATTTCAGATTAAAGATTTAGATTAAAGATTTAAATCAAAAATTTAGATCAGATTTAGATCAAAGAGTTAAGTTCAAAGATTTAGATTAAACATTTAGATCAAAGATTTCAGATCAAAGATTTAGATTAAAGATTTAAATCAAAGATTTAGATCAGATTTAGATCAAAGAGTTAAGTTCAAAGATTTAGATTAAAGATTTAGATCAAAGATTTTAGATCAGATTTAGATCAAAGATTTGAGTTCATAGATTTCGATTAAAGATTTAAATCAAAGATTTAGATCAGATTTAGATCAAAGATTTCAGATCAAAGATTTAGATTAAAGATTTAAATCAAAGATTTAGATCAGATTTAGATCAAAGAGTTAAGTTCAAAGATTTAGATTAAAGATTAAGATCAAAGATTTTAGATCAGATTTAGATCAAAGATTTGAGTTCATAGATTTCGATTAAAGATTTAAATCAAAGATTTAGATCAAAGATTTAGATCAGATTTAGATCAAAGAGTTAAGTTCAAAGATTTAGATTAAAGATTTAATTCAAAGATTTAGATTAAAGATTTAAATCAAAGATTTAGATCAGAGTTAGATTAAAGATTAATGCAAAGATTTAAATTAAAGATTTTAAGATAAAAGATTTAGATCAAAGATTTAAGATCAGATTAAGATAAACGATTTAAGATCAAAGATTTAAGATCAGATTTAGATCAAAGATTTGAGTTAATAGATTTCGATTAAAGATTTAAATCAAAGATTTAGATCAAAGATTTAGATCAGATTTAGATCAAAGAGTTAAGTTCAAAGATTTAGATTAAAGATTTAATTCAAAGATTTAGATTAAAGATTTAAATCAAAGATTTAGATCAGAGTTAGATTAAAGATTAATGCAAAGATTTAAATTAAAGATTTTAAGATAAAAGATTTAGATCAAAGATTTAAGATCAGATTAAGATAAATGATTTAAGATCAAAGATTTAAGATCAGATTAAGATAAAGATTTAAGATCAAAGATTTAGATCAAAAATTTAGGATTAAAGATTTAGATTAAAGATTCATTCAAAGATTTATAGATTTAAGATCAGATATAGATCAAAGATTTAGATTAAAAAAAATTAGATCAAAGATTTAGATTCAAGAAGATTTAAATATTTAGATTAAAGGTTTAGATCAAAGGTATTAATTTGGATTTTGTTGCTGGAAAAAGGTGTTGAACTATTCACTCCAGTTAAATAAAGCGATGGATTTCACTCAGTCAGCTTTTTATTTCATTCAGATTAAATATTTAGACTTAGGTTAGAAACATTTAGATTTAACGTTCCAATTAAGTAATCAGATTATAGGTTAATGATAATAATTTTGATTTTATATTTAGGATAAATATTTAGATTTATATTCAACAATTAGATCCAAGATTAGAAATATGTACTTTGATTTAACATTTAATCAAATATTTAAGATGTAAATGAGCAATTTAGATTTATAATATATATTTAGATTCAACATGTAGATTATTGATTTAAGATGCATATTTAGATTTAATATTTAGATTAGTGAAATATAAGTAATTTAGATTAAATGATTTAGCTTTAAGATTTATGATTTTCACTCAATGTGGAAGGTATTTCATTGGTATTTATTTAGATTTTAGTTATTTATTTAGATTTTAAGGTATTTATTTAGATCTAACATTTGGCATGGATTTATGATTTATAAAAAACATATCTAAAATTTATTTTAAAATATACTAGAAATAAACTTAGAAATAACTTAAGTTTAATCTAAAACAAATTCAGTGTAGATTTCGTTTTAATGTTTAATATTTCAGTATATGTGAAGAATGTGCCCCAAATAACAGAGGAGACAATAAATAATAATAAATTTATTTAAATTTATACACAGAACAAATATTTATTTACGGAGAAGCAGGAGAGGCAGAAATGTAAATGAATGCATTTTACAAAATGTTTCTATGCGATTAACGTAGCAAAGAATGATTTAATCTAATGTAGATATATATTCCCATGTTAGAACGTATCTATTCTGACAGATCTACTTCTGTACAGGTTTAGCATTCTGTTTGTTGGTAGGAAGCATTTATTTCTCAGAGGGTTTTAATTCACTTCATAAGCATTAAATGAGCAGCTTCCCTCCTTTAGGCCATGCTGGTTTTTACAAGATGACCTTTAGGCGAGCGGCTCTTCTTCATGTGTTTTTCCAGCGGCCTTAATTCTGACTCAGTTTCCAGCAGACGCCGCCGCAGAAACAACCGCTGCTACTATGCCATCCATATTTCATTCATTCCAAAAGAAACAAACTACAAACTATTTAATATAAATCTTTACTCTAAATCCTTGATCTAAATCTTTAATCTAAATCTTTAATCTAAATCTTTGATCTAAATCTTTGATCTAAATCTTTAATCTAAATCTTTAATCTAAATCTTTGATCTAAATCTTTCATCTAAATACTTGATCTAAATCTTTAATCTAAATCCCTGATTTAAATCTTTAATCTAAATACTTGATCTAAATCTTTAATCTAAATCCTTGATCTAAATCTTTAACCTAAATACTTTATCTAAATCTTTAATCTAAATACTTGATCTAAATCTTTAATTTAAATCTTTAATCTAAATACTTGATCTAAATCTTTAATCTAAATACTTGATCTAAATCTTTAATCTAAATACTTGATCTAAATCTTTAATTTAAATCTTTAATCTAAATACTTGATTTAAATCTTTGATCTAAATCTTTCATCTAAATACTTGATCTAAATCTTTAATCTAAATCCCTGATTTAAATCTTTAATCTAAATACTTAATCTAAATCTTTAATCTAAATCCTTGATCTAAATCTTTAACCTAAATACTTTATCTAAATCTTTAATCTAAATACTTGATCTAAATCTTTAATTTAAATCTTTAATCTAAATACTTGATCTAAATCTTTTATCTAAATACTTGATCTAAATCTTTAATTTAAATCTTTAATCTAAATACTTGATTTAAATCTTTGATCTAAATCTTTCATCTAAATACTTGATCTAAATCTTTAATCTAAATCCCTGATTTAAATCTTTAATCTAAATACTTGATCTAAATCTTTAATCTAAATCCTTGATCTAAATCTTTAACCTAAATACTTTATCTAAATCTTTAATCTAAATACTTGATCTAAATCTTTAATTTAAATCTTTAATCTAAATACTTGATCTAAATCTTTAATCTAAATACTTGATCTAAATCTTTAATTTAAATCTTTAATCTAAATACTTGATTTAAATCTTTGATCTAAATCTTTAATCTAAATCCTTGATTTAAATCTTTGATCTAAATCTTTAATCTGAATCCTTGGTCTAAATCTTTAATCTAAATCCCTGATTTAAATCTTTAATCTAAATACTTGATCTAAATCTTTAATCTAAATCCTTGATCTAAATCTTTAACCTAAATACTTGATCTAAATCTTTAATTTAAATCTTTAATCTAAATACTTGATCTAAATCTTTAATCTAAATCCTTGATCTAAATCTTTAACCTAAATACTTTATCTAAATCTTTAATCTAAATACTTGATCTAAATCTTTAATTTAAATCTTTAATCTAAATACTTGATCTAAATCTTTAATCTAAATACTTGATCTAAATCTTTAATCTAAATACTTGATCTAAATCTTTAATTTAAATCTTTAATCTAAATACTTGATTTAAATCTTTGATCTAAATCTTTAATCTAAATCCTTGATTTAAATCTTTGATCTAAATCTTTAATCTGAATCCTTGGTCTAAATCTTTAATATAAATCTTTGATCTAAATCTTTAATTTAAATCTTTGATCTAAATCTTTAAACTAAATATTGAATCTTAATCTTTAAGTATTAAATCTAAATGTTAAATCTAAATTAATTTCTTAAATTTTTAATGTAATCTAATTTTTTTAAGCTAAATCTCTGATCTTCTATTTTTAATCCAAATCTTTGGATCTTTAATCTAAACGTTAAATCTTAATTAATATCTTAAATTTTTTTAATGTAAATTTAAATGCTTAACCTAAATATATTATATAAATGTTTAATCCATATCTTTGATCCAAATCAGTGAATACTACGCTCACCTCTGTTCTCTTACGCGCTGGACACATGCACACGCATAGCCCCGCGCGGAGTCACCGCGGATGCCTCGCATATGCCCCCGTGACAATATTAGCCTTATGTAAAATATATGGTAAATCATTAGTAAAAATAATAAATAATAATGGACCCAGACAACTACTTTGGGGTACTCCACATGT